CTCGCCGTTCTTCTCCGCGCTCCGAACCATCGTACGCTGACATCGTCACCCAAAGAAACGGGTCTAGCTGCTCGCCGTCACCTCAGGGTTGGCCCTCACGCTCCCCTCAACGCCGCTGCTCTCCGTCACCGGCTTATTCTGGTCATCCCCGGGAAACTGACGAGTGCAGCTACTGGAGGTGGCGCTGCGTGGACGACTCGGAACGAAAACCCTCACCCGGCTACAAATTCAAGATGCAATTTACTTCGAGTGTTCATTGATGGCCACGCCGTTCCTGCTCTGATTGACACTGGTGCCCAAGTATCTGTTATGAGTTCAACACTTGGATCACGCCTGAAAAAGTTTCTCACACCTGCTATGTTTTCTACTGTTCGAGTGGCCAACGGTAGTCGAACATCGGTGCTTGGCATGTGCACTGCCCACGTTACTGTTGCCGGCCACCACACTTCCGTTCTCTTCGCAGTCATTGATGCTTGCCCACATGACCTCATCCTTAGAATTGATTTCTTAACCGCCCACTCCGCCCTCATCGATTGTTCTACCGGTATATTACGGCTTGAATTGCATTTGTGCACCGATTTCACTCCTCCAAGTCGCACTCGGCAACGATTCATGGAGTCTCTACGGCTACCGCCCCAGGCTGCTATGTACATTCCTGTGTCGCCCTTTTCGTCCGTTCATGATGGAGACTATCTAGTGTCTCCCCTCATTGATTTGACCCTTACGCATCGCATCCCACTACCACATACTATACTGGTTGTTGCTAACAACATGGCGCTACTTCCAGTTCTGAACTTCTGTACGTCGACCCAAGTTCTTCCCAAAGGCATCACTTCAGGCGATCTTTCCACCCTTGATGAATGTCCGATTTGTTCTTTTATTCCTGACACTAAGACCAGTGCGAAACTTGTCATCACCCCGCAATATAAGGTGATCCTCGACAAAACAATATCCAGGCCGCTGCGGTAGCCCAGTGGTTAGAGCATCGAACGCGTTATTCGAAAACGATATCCAGCGACCTCTTACCTTCCCAAGTTGCAGTGCTCCGGGGTGTTCTATTTTCTTACCTGGATATCTTCGACGTCGACGAGCGTCCCCTAGGCCGCACAAGTGCCGTAATCCACCGCACCGACACCAGCGACGCTAGTCCACGCCACAAACGCACTTATCGCATGTCACACGTTGAGCGCCAAGTTATACAGACGGAGGTCGAGAAAATGCTGAGCAAAGACGTCATTGAGCCTTCATCGAGTCCTTGGGCATCTCCTGTGGTCTTAGTTAAAAAGAAGGACAACACCTGGTGCTTTTGCATCGATTATTGCCACCTGAATCGGATCACCAAGAAGGACGTTTATCCTCTACCCCGAATCGATGATGCGCTCGACTGCCTCCACGGCGCCAACTATTTCTCGTCCCTTGACCTTCGATCCGCATACTGGCAAATTTCGGTCGACGACCGTGACCACGAGAGGACAACATTCCCCACACCCGACGGCCTTTACCAATTCAAGGTCATGCCTTTTGGGTTGTGCAATGCCCCGGCTACTTTTGAACGTATGATGGACTTTCTTCTCCGTGGTTTCAAATGGTCGACCTGCCTTTGCTATCTTGATAATGTAATCGTTTTCTCGTCCTCCTTCAAAAGCCACCTGTCTCGTCTATCGGCGATTCTTGACGTTTTTCGTTTCGCTGGTCTCCAACTTAATTCGTCGAAATGCTCGTTTGGATGCCGGCAGATTAAAGTACTCGGCCACCTTGTTGACGCCACTGGTGTTCAACCCGACCCTGACAAAGTCTCTACAGTCCGAGCATTCCCGATTCCGCGTTCCACAGAAGAAATTCGTAGTTTTATTGGGCTCTGCTCATACTTCCGCCGCTTTGTCTTCAACTTCGCGTATATTGCTAGGCCCCTAACGGATCTCTTCGATAAGAAGGTTGTCTTTTCTTGGGGGGAGACCAAGAATATTCCTTCGCGTCGTTGATTACTGCCCTCACATCACCACCTGTGTGGCTCATTTTGATACAGCGGCTCGTACAGAGCTTCGCACCGATGAAAAGTGTCATAGCATTGGTGCTATATTCGCTCAGATACAGAATGGCACCAACCGTGTGATAGCCTACGCTAGTCGCCTTCTTTCGCAAGCGGGAAAATTAATTCCATCACCAAGCGGGAATGCATAGCCCTCGTTTGGGCCATTTCGAAATTCCGTCCGTACTTATACGGACGTCCGTTCGCAGTCATCACGGACCATCACGTGCTTTGCTGGCTGTCGACGCTTAGGGACCCTACAGGAAGACTCGGCCGATGGGCGTTTGAATTACAGTAGTACACGTTCTGGGTTGTGTACAAATCTGAAAAGCTGCACAGCGATGCTGACTGCTTATCCCAGAATCCCGTTGATTCACCTAACTCCAATGATTTAGAATCGGATGCCTGCGTTTTAGCCATCACTGACTTTTCTGAACGTGGCCGACGAACAGTGCCGAGATTCATCGCTGCTTACCATCATTGACCGCCTTCAATTGCGTCATACTGACCCTTCCCTTAGCAGATTCCTGCTTCAAGGCAACGTTTTGTACCGCCGCAACTTACACCCCGACGATGCGGAACGTTTACTCGTCGTACCACATCACCTGCGAAAGAATGTTCTGCGACAATTTCATGACGCTCCAACGTCTGGACATCAAAAGGTTTTGAGAACTTCCGACCATGTTCGACGACGAGTATTCTGGAAGGGTCTCTACCGCTCTGTTCGCCGTTACGTCGCATCTTGCGACCTCTGCCAGCGCCGAAAGAAGTCTACGACTCCCCCTGCCGGTCTTCTTCACCCTATTGAAGTTCCAGCCGAGCCGTTTTATCGAGTGGGGTTGGACTTGCTAGGTACCTTTCCTATTTCTACAACTGGAAATAAGTGGATTGCAGTGGCCACAGATTATGCCACTCGGTATGGAATCACTCGAGTGCTACCAACCAGCTGCGCAACAGACGTTGCCGACTCCTTGCTCTACAACAGTATTCTGCAGCATGGCGCTCCGCCTCACCCGCTCACCGACTGTGGTCGCTACTTTCTATCTCGTGTGGTTGATGATCTACTCCGATCTTGTGCTACCCGTCACAACTTCACCACATCTTACCACCCTCTGACTTACAGAGTGCCTAAACCGCACATTGACAGACATGCTTTCCATGTACGTATCTACCGACCACACTGATTGGGACATAGCTCTGCCGATCGTCACCTTCGCCTATAACGCGTCGCGTCATGAAACAGCAGGCTATATGCTCCCCATTTTATCTACTCTTCGGACGTCATCCCTTTCTGCCGTTCGACTCACTGCTTTCATCGACCAACCATCCTCCACTTCGTATGCTCAGGATGCGATCACCCATGCTCTCACGGCACGCGCGGTAGCCCGCGCTCGGTTATCGTCGTCGCAGACAGCACAAAAGTCGCTTTACGAATGTCGACATAGGGATGTCGTTTTTTATGTGGGATCTCTTGTTCTCCAGTGGCTCCCATCTCGACGTATCGGCATCTGCGAGAAACTACTTTCGGGAAACGCTGTGCCCTACTGAGTCCTTCGACAGGTCACACCTGTGACATACGAGATTGCCTCTACCACAAACTCATCGGCTGCTGCACCCAGAACGGAAATAGTCCACGTTTCCCGTCTCAAGCCCTACAACGCGGACTCGCTCATTTAACAGGCACCGAGACGGTGCCTTACCGGCCGGGGTGATACGTGTATGGAACTGTCGCTTCGGCACAGCTGAAATGGCACTCGAAAGGAGGAAGACGACAACGTGGTTGTTATGGGTTGGTCTCTCGAGCTTGCCCCATTGGCCTGCATGACTGTGTGCTCTTTAAGCCATTAGCAAGACCTGCTGTCGGTGAATAATCTTCCCCGTAGCAATATATATATATATATATATATATATATATATATACTGTAGAGAAGCCTCCGAACACTGAACTGGGTAGAACCCTAAAGTGCTATCTAGTGGGTCTATCCAAAAGGACGCCACTCTCCCTGCGGCATCTGCGCGTGCTGTTGCGTCCTTCATACTGCATCGATTCATACTGCGCCACAGTCCAGCCCAGGAGCTTCTCAGCGATCGAGGCCGTGTCTTCTTGTCAGAAGTCGTCGAAGCCATTCTCACTGAGTGCCATTTTGTACACCGCAAAACTACTGCTTACCACCCGCAGACGAATGGTCTCACCGAACGCTTTAACCGCACCCTCGGCGACATGCTTTCGATGTACGTCGCCGCCAACTACACGAATTGGGATACTATACTGCCCTTCGTCACCTACGCCTACAACACCGCCCCAGGTATACAAGGATTTCATTAGAGAAATAATAGCTATCGCAAAATGCCGGCGAGGTTCTCCATTTTGCATGAGAACCAATGAATACAAGCACCTGTCTTTGTCGGTTGTCACTCGTTCCTTGTCTTGTGTGTGCGCTACTACTGAAATGAAATACCAACGTTCACAGACTTGCGTGATTTGAATATTTTTTTGTAAATGGTGTTTTTCATAGAACTTTTTCATAGAACGAAGTTGAGTACCTCATTAATTCTAATTACTTATAATCAATTACATATTCGATTGATTGATGTGTGGGGTTTAACGTCCCAAACCACTATATAAACAGCGCAACCTAGAAGTAACTACTTCTAGGTTGCGCTGTTCCTGCATTCACTATATGATTATGAGAGACGACGTAGTGGAGGACTCCGGAAATTTCGACCACCAGCGGTTCTTTAACGTGCAACCAAATCTGAGTACACGGGCAACAACATTTTCGCCTCAATCGAAAATGCAGCCGCCGTAGCCGGGATTCGATCCCGAGACTTGTGGGAAACTCATATTCACGAGCATACAGTGATTAAAATGTCCTGTAACTTCATGTATAGTATGGTTTCTTAACAAGGCTTGTAATCATGGTTACCGGCTTTCAGTGCTTCAGTTATTCTCGTTATCCCGACTGTACAGGTGGTAGATACGCATTCTAACAAGAACCTTGGACCGCTTGAAAGAGGGGAGATCTTTGTGAAGGGTCCAAGCACTTTCAAGGCTTATCTTGGACGACCAGAAGAAACAGCTAGCGTCTACAAAGACGGCTTCGTTCGCACAGGTACGATACTTGTTTTCCTCTCTCTTAAATGCACTCTTAGGTGTGTTCACCTGGACGAAAGTATAAAGAGGGAAATACAGCCAAACCCGCATATATTGAGCTCAACAAAAAACGGGAATAAAACATAATACATACGCTATATATAGTGCAATAGAACACAAAACTTCCGAAAAAATTTAGCGTACTTTCATTGCAAATTTTGGTGCACAAGTATAGCCTTCACGAAACTGGTTCGTAATAATAGTAGAAGCGTGGATTATGGCAATACGCGAAGATCACTCTCTCTCTCTCTCTCTCTCTCTCTGTCTTTATTTCTTATGTTTACGTGGCCTAATTGTAACTGGGGTGGGAGTCATATGCATGGCCAGGTCGTAGGTGAGAAAATAAGGAAGAGATGTAAACAGCGACTCAACATTTTCGTACGCATCTGTGCGTACTCATCGGGTGCTTGAAACCTATAGTCTCTGTTGACTGTAATTTGGCGTTGTTTTTAAATACTGTACTCAACTTGCACTTTGGCAAACTGCACACAGCAGTGATGTCAGCTTTCTTTTCTCTGACATTGACTCTGTTGGTTAGCGCCAACATAGCGGAGAACATAACATATTCTTCTGTTTTACAGCAGCCATTGCGTTAGCAAATGGAGCTGAGAAGCGAATGGCGACCCACGCACGATGGTCGCGACATGAGCGGAAGTGAGCGATGGCTCGCCGTAGTTGCTACTCTCTCTGCGTGGTACCCATCTAATCAAATTTATAATAGGCATGCCACAAACTCCACTTCCGGGAGAAAAACAGCAAATTTTAGGCGAGGGTAAGCAAACTTCTAGGGGCGTTTTGTGCTGCCCAATATATCAGGTGTCTCGCCTGCTTGTTCAGTATAGCCGCAAATATTTGTACAGAATTACCTCAGAGCATTCTCATGTTGGAAAATAATTCAATGCAAAGCATAATTTTGTTGAGCCTAGGAATCGATGTACCGATGTAGTCGGGTTTGACTCTAGCTATTTGGTCTCGAAATCGAGCAACGCACACACGCGATATATATATATATATATATATATATATATATATATATATATATATATATATATATATATATGGGTGGACATCTATGCTAATAAGTTGCAAGCCAGGGTTGGGTTTGTAGTTTGTGCTTGATAATTCTTAAACCCATTGTTGCGTTCTGGCCAGGCGTTTAATGGCGCAGAATTTCAGTTTACCAGAAGCCCCTGATTTTTCTGCTCTTTTGTCTTACTTTATAGCGATTGAGTTACGATATCCAGAAACTGACTCCAGCCTATAATCCCTCTCGCTGCCTTTATTTTCTTCCACTCTTTTGTGTGTTTCGAGAATGTGACGCTTTTCCTCTGCAATAGACTTGCAGTTCACTATGAGGCTTCCTAAGCATGTTGGGACAGTATTAGCAAACTGAACTTAGTCTAGATAACCTCCCTACATTTCTGATATTTTTTTCTTCTCTCTTATCTTCATGAAACGCGAAACGCGAAACCATCATGAAGGTCGAAAGCGTCACACGTGTCTTCCCTTAGAGTACACTAACAGTAGCGGTAACGTGGAAGCTCTGACATCATCTTCGAGCGTATACTCCTCCTTTATATAGGGCTGGTCCGCTGCAACCAGCAACAAGTCCTGAGATCAATAACTTCAAGCAAATTGTGCAAATAAGCTTGGTTCTGCTTGTAATTGTGCCCGGCTTACTGTAGTGGAATCCGCTGGTATAAATAATTTCGGAAGATGAAGTGATATTCACGTGGTTTGATAAGAAATACTTCAGATATACACAAATGTGCTGCTTCTTACAAGTGCAACACCATGTTCTCTAAAATAAGTTATTGAAGTCACCAGAATCTCGTCTCGTGTATTTTGGTTCGATCAAGAGAATGGTTGCGTTTCATACGCGGCAGCTTCTTTCTGACGTAGGCAAGTGGTATAGTCAGGTACAACCTTAGAAGGCAGCGGTACTTCAAATGTGGATGTACAGAAGCCTAAACTATTGAGCACGCGCAATAGATTGAATTCTTAGGCCACATTATTGGTGACCCAGCCATCTGAGATCTTTGCCGAGCACATGAGCGGGACTATTTCTTAGTGGCAGAGGCGATCTACTGCTACGTTTTGATAATTTGGGCCCTATCCTGTTCTAAAGGAGCCATATCATGGTCTGGCAGTAATTTGGAGTTTTCAGCAAGAGCTAAAGTAGAGGGCCTAAACAAACTATATTTGGGTATGTTGTGAAAATGCATATATGTACACGCGCTTATGTATGTAGTATGTATGTGCATATGGGAAGTTATATGTATAAATAATTGTGTATATATGTGTTTATTGCTAAATATGCTCTACTAAGCTGCTTTATGTACTCCGATATGGACCGATCACTAGCCAATGTAGGCTAACGGCCCAGATATCTTGTAATCTTTTCTTTGGTTTGTAATAAAAATCAGATTGGTTGATTGATAGGTATGAAACGTGGACCGTCAAATAATATTTCAGCGCAAAACAGACCATATGAAAAGGCTACCTTTCTGTATAAGCCGTCTACAACCAGTGACCGGCATTTTGCCATGATGCCTGTGACTTCACGGGCAGCAGGAAGGGGTGCCGCCGTCTTCTACTACTGTTTCAAGCACTGAAAATCATTCAAATTTACTACCAAGCGGAAAAAAACTTGAAAAAATATCTCGATTTGACGCACAGCTGAAGGTGGAATAATATCGTTCGACGGAACGCGCACGCTCTCACACCCAGCTGTTTGTTACGTCACGTTACAGTATACTAGAAGGGGGTAGTGTGCATTCTGCCATATGCTCTACATGAGACGCTCTGAAGCCCCTTAGGTCGCTGGCACAGGGAGCCGCAAGGGGTGCTGCGGCAATTTCCTCTTGAAACCTCGTGCATTCGCTCTTTCTGCCACTGCCGCTCTCTAGCTGCGCGCGTGTCAAACGAGGCTGCAAGTCGACTATGTCGAAGAAACGAGACGAGACAAGCGCGGACTGCGTTCCACGCGAACGAACCGCAAGAATCTTCTTTTTTTATTTGGCTTATTAACGCGTGCACTCTTCCGTGCCCCTTTGTCTTCTTCTTCTTTTCCTTGTTTTCGGCGAGTTTTAATAGCTTCCGGCCTGCATGAAATTTTGTTGTCCTCATTGGAAACAACCTTCAAGTATGTAGATATGCTGTACAGGTCTCTGAATGAGTTTTCCATTGGTTTTCAAAAGGCAGGAACGTAACTTTCTATCGACCCCCGAATAAATTTTCATGACTTTGGTCAGGTTTCATAGCGATCTAGGAGTGCGTGAACCAAGCAATACGATTTCTCCTTGGTTAACTCTCGTTTCTTTTACATGCGGAGCATGTTATACTAGGGGATAGTCATGCGCCGTCGCCGTATTCAGTCTCCCCTCGTCCTCCTCCACCAGCTATCTGTGCATCCCTTCCTCCTCTCAACAAAGCTCGCGCTGCCCTCGCTTCTTCCATCCGCGCACCGCGCGACCTTTAGTTTTACGTGCGCCAGCTGTATGGTAACGCGCGCATGCGCAGGCAGGGGCTGGCGCTTGCTATAAATAACCGAGTGTCGGGGCGCTATAAATAACTGAGTTTCGGTTGGTTTGTGCGGTCACTCCACGTCCGATATCGCTGGTGAAAATTTATGCTAACAAATCTGCAAACACACTTACTGACGGCCCTTCCAATAGCGTCAGCCAATGTGCTGGCGGAACCGCAAGCGATTCCGAAGGCACTTCGTCCGTAGACAAGGCCGCGCTGAAAAGAGCTTGCGATGCGGAACGCAAACGTCGGCGTCGAGCGGAAGATACGCTCCGGCCGCGTGCGCACACGGGTTCCAACGATCTGCGGGTGGCGTGGGAATTTACGTCAAGCGTGACAACGTCGACTCCGTCGAAGACCTCCAACTGCGGCTCGGCGCTCAACAACGCGCCAACGGCGAGCACTGCATCGCTAGCGTCTGCGGAGTCGACGTCATGACGATGTACCTCGCGCCCAACCTATCGCGTGCCGCCGCGGAGAAGTACGTCGACGAAGCCGTAGAAGAATACCTGAAAGAACGACCGCAACGACGACCCTTCATGATAGTTGGCGACTTCAACGTCGACGTCATCAAGGACGATTGGGTGGTCGACTACATGAAGTCGCGGCACTCGCTGAAACGAGCAACACACGACGGCAAACATCATCCGATTATGGTTCGCGGGACGTGCATCGACCACGTCTTTGCAAACTTCGACCTTCGACTGCTGCAATCAGACCCACTCACCCTTCACTTTATGGACCATAAAGCCATCTTGCTCCAAATACCCAAAGCGTCTCATCAATAAACATCGTCTTTCGCAGCATACGTGCGTACGTGTTCACTCGTGTTCACGCATAGCACACACGCATGTCGCAAATTACAAACCAAATTTATCGCAGTTCAACATACATGCTCCACATGCTAACCAGTGTTCCCACTCGGGAAACTGCGGCCATTTTTTTTACTTGCGTAAGCTTGCTCTCTCAATTCCTTCAGATATTCCTTGTTCTACCTTTTCCATCAATCTTTCTTGACGTTTTGCCGCCAGATTTCATTAATGTTGACTTCATGTTGATCTTAGTCATTGCTGGAAGTCTGTATTTTTTGCCTATTATGTCAGCTGGCACAATAGGTAGCGGCTCATCCGGTTCGCTGTATACATAGGTTAACGGCTTTTTGTTAAGAACCGCTTCAACCTCTGTGCTTATTGTTTCCATCTCTTCTCGGGTTAGCAGTCTCTTTCCGATGGCTTTCCTCGTTGATGATTTCATGCTTCGTATTATTCTTTCATAGAAGCCTCCCCACCGAGGCACTTGTTCGGCAACAAACTTCCACTTTAGTTTATCTCCTTGGTTAGCTTTTCTAGAGACTTCTTGTAACTTCTTCAGCATACGATTGATTTCTGTGTTGGCTTTCTTGAACGTCCTTGCGTTGTCACTATATATTGT